CACTGCCCTGAGTACTGCAGAACAGCTTTAAAATCAGTATTTCAGGAAGTTATAAATGCAACTAATAGGAAAATTCTTTCTAGCATTATTAAGTCAGCTTAACAAGGCAAGTAAATAACCACTTTCTGATACTCAGCCACTTGTCCACAAGCAAAACAATACCTCTAATGCATTGTAAGCAGTTATATCTACCAGAATAACTCTCCTCTACAACCTTACCCAAGCTCCTATGTCTCAGGAAATAGAAGAGGAAGCTGAAGAAGCCACGTGATTTGGACACAGTCACTTAAATCTGAATCATACATTCACAGCCCAACCAGCACACCCTGACGTCAGAGTGGATACTTTGAAGATCTGTGAGATATTCTTGCTTCTCACTAAAGAAAGTGAAATTCACTTTGAAGGAAGGAAAAAAGGAGGAGTAGGAGACCCTCTCCTTTCTTTCACAGCCTCCTCAACACATCTGCACCTTCAAGAAATTTTAGAACATCAACTCAATCCACCCAAGTGAAACATCTTTCAGACATTTGCTCCTCCCCTGGCTTCTCTTGCTTTTTCATATAATTTTGTTCCTCCTTTGGTGATAAAAATGGTAGAGTTACAGGAAACAGAAACAGGGCTAACCCTCACTTCAGGCCTGTCAGCTTCATAGTAATCCCGTGTTCTTACTGGGTGAGCTGCTTAACAGTTGTGTGCTTATTTCTTACAGAGACCAAGGTCTCCTCTCTGGATGCTTAACACACGCTTTTGATTGAGCACATGAGGGCTCCCAATTTACAGCTGGGACACTAGACTCTGCTCCAGTTATAGGATTTAGGTCTTTAAGGAAGTCAGATACATAAAGTCATTCTATCATGACATACTTCTGGATAAGGAACAGGGTAAGTTATGCATGCCACAGGATCTGTGACTAAATAACTCTCAAAAACTTCTGCTCATGTGAGAGACCAGGGAGGAAATAAATAAAGCTTTACTCACTGATAATTTGGGACCAATATTTAGATTTCAACAACCCAGTGAAAATACTGAAGAACTTTTTCTCACATTATTCAAGAAATCATTTTTGCTACATAAAGAGAGCAATTCTACAGAGGACTTTGAAGGGACAGCCAGTTAGCCTACTTTCAATACCCTAGTTATGCCCACGGGAGGAGTTAAACCAATAGCAAAACCACTGTGCCAATTACTAACCTTCACAGTTACATGGGAAGAAATAGACTCATGTTGAAATACAGCCAATTTTAAGGACATTTTCTCCTATGCTCCCCCAGCAAGTATATGGACATGTAAAGGTGCCATGATACTTCTGGCCAGTAAGCAGATTCAGACCTGAACACAGCTTCACTGTCCCTTGTTTACACAGCCGTGTTTCAGTGAGGGCTGACACAAACATGTCCCAATGAATCCAAGACTTTACAGGAGCTCCTATGGCAGACAGTCACAGCTGCCTTAGATTCATCTAAACTGTCCTGCCCAAGGGGTTGTCTCAACACCCTCCAACTCTCTGGTGCCAACACCAGGTGCTCATCAGCTGTGTCCTGCTTTTGACAAGACAATGAGGCATTTCCCTTTGCTGTCACAGACCCATGTCCAAGCAAGGCTGGCCCAGAGAGTGGGTATGGGAGCAGCCCCAGTGGCAGTGCCCACACCAGGAATACAGAGCACTGTGCATCCCCCTTCCAGTAGGATTGAGCCCTAAGGTGACAAGCCCTCTGCTCGCTGCCAGACAAGCAGCCCACCCCCACCTCAGGTCTGCAAAACCCTTGGCTGTGTGGCTTTATGGCTCTTACCTAAGCAGTAGCCTTGAACATATGGTTTACAGGGGCAGGAACACTGGCTCTCTCCCTCTGCCCTACCACCTCTACCCCCATCCAGCAGGGATTTTGTCTAATGCCCCTATTTATTCATCAGAGGTGCACTTTGAACTGGCACCAAGGCTCTGCTGGCTGCCAGAGAGAGCTGTGGTTTGAGCAATCTGTCCTCCAGGGGAGGAAGGACCAGCCTGGTCACTCTCACACACGTGCCCACCATGACAGCTCTGCTCAGCACCCTTTGGGCTGAGCAGAGGGAAAGAACAGAAAGCCAGGGACTTGCTTGACAAACAAAAAGGGAGCCACAGAGCACCAGGCACCTACGACAGGTACAAAGCCACTCTGTTTTCTGGTCTCATTTCACTACCTGAACTAAGGAGAAGGGCCTGCCAAAAGGATGCTGCATACACCATAATGGAAAGCAAGGGAGCTTTCTTTCCTACTCATGCTCATGACAGCAAATACATCTATGCATATTGACTAGGCTAAGCTGAAAAAGGGGCAAGAACAGCTCAGGAATGGGAAACATGGAGCACTGAGATAAATGTAAGTTGTATCCATATTCACATAAAGCTTTAGAGTGTGATCAAGTACATGAAACAACATGCTAGTCCATTATCAAACTGAAGCACTAAGTTACCTCAGACAAGGTTCTCCTCTCTATCTCTCAAACCATCAGATCCCGTTCAAAAAAATCATATAATGCTTAAGAGCAAAATGACCCCACTCTCAAAACTGTACAGCAAAAAAATGAAAGGGGACAAAAACTAGGCCAGTAGCAAGTGCTTCTTAGAGGAGCTGAGGTGGGAATACAATTACTCCTGCTTTACAGCAGTCTTGTGAATGCTGAAGGGAAGCAGGGGTCACCAATTCTCTTTCTAGACGTCCTTCATGCAAGAGACCTCTTTCCTCAACTGTGAAAAACCAACTTTATGGATTTTGATTAAACCGGGCCAGTTCACTAACATTAAGATCTAGCCTTAGCTTGCCTTTTATTTTCATGCTGCAAACAATCTAAATCCTTTGCTTTGTATTTCATCCATCACAAATCATACCACTACAATATACAGCACAGAATAGCTGCTGTAGCCTGGCAGAATACTTAATTACCTACTTGAGAGTTAAAATTCATTCTTATCCATATTGTTTTCTTTGATGGCAATCAGATGAAGAGAAATGAATTTTCTTTGCTATATTTAGATGAAGAGAAAGCTTTGGGATGATACTGAGATCCTGTTGTTCTCCTAAGTTTTGGCTGCAGCAACCACTGCTGTTGGTAAATATGAAGAGAAGGAAATAAACTTTTAAGGAATCAGAAGCGGTGAGGCCAAAATTAGGAGGAAAGATTCCCAGGTTCTTGTCAATAAATAAAGTCAGAATGGGCATGTTGCTAAAATGACAGGGGACTTGGAACACACCATCTCAGTGTGCAAATACCACTCACTTTCAGCCCCAGAACACAAAAATAACAAAACACAAGATGCTATGGGAAGTTGTACAGATTTGTAGCTTTCTTTCTGCATTCTGGCTGAACTACCAGTGCTTTCTCTTGTCCCACAAGAAAGGCACAAGATGTAGTCCCAAAGGGTGGTTCTGCTGGCAGAGCTGAAATCAGACCCTCTCTGAAAGGGTCAGAAGGATTATTTTGCCAGTACCGAGCCCAAATACTCTATCAGCCAACTCCTTGTCACAGCACAAAGGCACCACAGCCCTGAAGAACTACTCCCAACTAAAACCTCAAAGCTCGGCTCACACTTCACATGCGGGAGCAGCAGCACGCATCGGTCCCAATACTGCTGAGGACATCCGAGCCAGCAGGCGCTGGAGGTGACACTTCGGGGACACCCAAGGACACCTGTGCTGGGGCTGATTTCCTGTGTCCTGGCCGAGTGGCTGCTTTTCCCTGGGCCCCCCAGGGGACACAGGTACACAGCAGGGCTGGGACTGCTCCCCTGAGCATCCAGCTGCACGGCCAGCCCGCCCGGAGACACAAACACTCAACAAAAAGGGAAAAAACACCAAGACAAGCCCCACCCCGCCAGGCAGAGGTTTTGCAGGCGGCCAGAGGAGACCTTGCTCCCATGCAGGTGTTCTTGCTCTCCATTTGCCCTACTGAACGCTTAAAAAATCCGTCTGCCTCTGAAGGTGTGCCGGAGGCGCTTCCAAACGAAAGCCGGGATACTCCGCCACCGCCCAGGAGAAACAGGTATACAGATATTTTAACACACGTACATACACGAACACACATGGAAATAAGTGGGGTTTTTTACATATAATATGCACCTATGTAAGAATATACATATGTACGTATATACACACACAGAGACACAGCTCTGGGAGCGCAGCGACCCCGAGACCCCACGCGAACGCCGGCGGCTGGCCAGGCCCGTCCCGTCCCATCCAGAGACTGGCGGCAGAAGGTGCCAGTCCCGGGTGCCAGTCCCGGGTGCCAGTCCCGGGTGCCAGTCCNGGCGGCGGGGCCGCCATGGTGGGGCGGGGCGGGCGGTGCCCGAGCTTCGAGTCACGCGGAGTCCCGGAATGGCTGGAGTTGGAAGGGACTGTGAAGGTCATCCAGTACCTACCCCTTGCATGGCTTGGAGCCTTTCACTAAACCAGGATGCTCAAAACCCCGCCCAACATGTCCTTAAACACTTCCAGGGAGGGGGCATCCACAGCTTCCCTGGGCAACCTGTGCTAGCGCCTCGCCACCCTCACGGTTCGGAACTTCCTCCTAATAGCTAATAGATAATCGAAACGTACTCTATTACAGTCTGAATCCATTCCCCCTTGTCACTGAGTGCTCTTGTAGAAATCCATTTCTGTCTTTCTTGTAGACTCCTTTCAAGTATTGGAAGGCTTAAATGCTTATCAACTTACGCCTTCAGTAAATAAAATTATATGTAAGCATGCAGATCCTGATGGAAATAAAAGGATAATAAATAAAAGGAGAGAAATGTAAAGGAGTAGACAGAGAAACCGGAGGAAATGGCCAAGTAATAGTTCTGCTGGAATTGTCTGACCCCTGCTCAGTTTATAGATCAGAGGGGTGAATAAGGAAAATTACAATTTCACTCTATTTGCAATGGGTATGGGGAGTTTGTATTTTCAGACTGTAAGCGTTTTTGTTTAAAAAACAAATTTAAAAAATACAAAAAAAAACCCCACAGAAAAAAACCCTAACAAATAATATTTTTTTTTAAAGTGTAAGATAATTCAGTAGAGACATTGAATCATTCTTCAATCTGCACACAAACCACTCCTGTCTCTGTTCCCATTGCTTTTTCAAGCAGCAGTCAAGTGAAATTAAGATTCTGGCAGCTCTGTAACACTTGCTCATCATCTGTGGGGGCAGAGACATGAACTGGAGTCACAGCAATTTCCCTCTGCTGCTGTTGTCATTTCGGGAAGCACCTCAGGCACAGACACAGGGAGTATTTACAGCAGAGATTCACATTCCTCTTTGCTCCATGCCATCCATGACGATTTGCTATACACAAGGAATAAAGAGTAAGATGGTAATGAAGGAGACCCAAGGTACAAATATGTGAACTGCACCACTATAAATCATTGGACAAAATGGAGTCTTTTGCAGATTCCAAATCTTAAATTTGCCATCACATTCTTTTCCTCAAATTTCCTGCACAACATCAGTGACAAGTGATACACCTTCCTTGCACCGTAATTCTTATTTTGAGCACTGCACACAGAACTAAGTTAAATGGAAAATTCTTCAGAGCCCCTGAGAGCTGCCTATCCCAGCATGGCCAGCTGGGCTTTGCCAAGGTAAAGTCAGTCTGAAAAAACTGATAAACTCTGTGCTTGGCTGTGTTCTTCACTAGCCAAGAGCTCTTCACTATCAGAGTTCTTTCTAACAGGTTTCCCTCAAAGGCTGTGTCTACCTTTGGTCTTTGTGCTGAACTCTTGAGTTCCTTTTCACGACATACTTTATCCAGCTGGAGATTTATTTTTTTTTAATGGGAATTTTTCTGATTAATTGAATTCTTCATACATTTTATGATCTGCTGCTTTGTTCATTTTAGCATTAGGGGAAGGAATTATTTTGGCTGCACTCAGGCAACAGTTTTGCTGATAATCATTTTACTCCCCTTTATTTTTACATGGAGCATAAGTATCTGACAAAAATTTGGGATAATAGTAAATATATTTATCTGTTTTAAAACATTTTTATGATTTCAAAGTCAAAGCATTGACAGTCTGAACTGTGCTGCTCTTCGCCTCACTGGCAGCAGGAGATAGGGAAATTGTTCTTAGGCTCCTTCTTCTAGGGGCTGGAGGGATGGGAACTGGTTTTACAAGCCCAGTTGCCCTTTATTAGCAGCTTTAGAAGCTAAACTTGCAGCTTTTTGTGTCTCTCAAAAGTGCTGCTCAGCTGCATGAAGGGCTCACAGGTACCTACTCAGGACTAAAATTTAGAGATAAACAAATTCCTTGCTTCTTTCCCCATTCTCACGAGATCCTCCCTTTTTGCTCTCCCCCTGATGGACAAATGCAAAGAGGTGTAGGTCTTGTGCAACCTAGCAAAGGGTTTTAGGAAAAGAATTCATGTACTTCAACCTTCATGGAAGCACAGAGCATGGGTATGTGAAACTCAGCTGTCTTTCTTGGAATCTGCCTGCCTCCTTTATAGCATGAGGCAAAAATCTATCTTAGCTCAGTGCTCCTCTTCTGTAACCTAAAGTGGGTAATAGAAAGACAAATAGTTGTTTTTTAACATTTCATCCATGAGTGTTACTTCCATGCAGCTTTCAATCAGAATGCCTTTTCACATGTTTTTTCCTAGCTGCATCACATGAGAAGCATCTGACCTGAGAGCAAGTTAAAAGGCTCTTTGAGCAAAGCCTTGCTCTGTATCATATGGACATCAGAAGTATTTCTGCTTTTTTCTTTATTTTTTTATTTTTTTTTTTTAAACAGGTCATTTCCTTAAAGGATCTGTCACAGATAATGCAGAGTGTGCTCATTGCCAGGGAAATTGCATGCTCAGCTGCTTCACAGCTTCATGACTTAGGAGGTCAGTGTCTCTCGCCAGGGGTGGTGGTTGTTCTGAAGTACACGGGCACATTCTCTGGGATTGCCCCAATATATCCCATTTTGGTACTGAGATGTTTACAGCAGGAAATCTCACAAAGGTTTTGGTCATAAACTCTTGCAGTCCTCCAAATATATCCAAGGAATTGTGACTGTTTTATTTCAGGACATGTAAATAATACCCGGAAATAGAACTACTGACACAAATCCAAACAGAGATGCTCCCTTGGCTTTTGAATGGAAACAGACATGACACCATCTGTCAAAATAACATTAAAACCTCTTGTGCTTGCACAGAAGATATGAATAGGGTCAGGCCCAGAACACTGGAGTTTTGTTCTGGAATAGACAGTACTTTCCAGGAGTCTTGCTCAGTTTATTCCACTCTGTAGATCTGTAGTCCCTCAAGGAAAGGTCATTACTGAATACCAAAGCAAATATTTTCCCCATAGCTGTAGGAGATCTCATTCATGAGAGGGTTTAGCAAGCAGCCAGGGCTCATGATGGAGTGCCACCTGTGGGCAGGAATTGTGTACTGGTGTCGCACTCCTGTGTGGGTTCTTCAAGAGTGCTCCCACATTGGTGTATCCCTAATGCCTCAGATGTAACCAGACAGTTCAGATTTAAGCCCCAGTACTGAAGAGTATGGTATGTACTTCTGTCTAAAACAGAGCTAAGTACAGATCCAAAGTCCCCTAGACTGTAGGGCTATTGGTCTAACCCTTGGAAACTCAACTTCATGCTAAGGGGACACACATAAGATGTATTCTGAATGTTCACTCCATACAAATCCCCCATGGTGTTGCACAGACCTGAGATCACCTTGTGGTCCATTCTTTCCAGGTCTGCAGCAGCACAGGAACTGTGTAGATGGCTTCTTTCTAAAAGATATAGAATTGAGCTAAATACGAGATTCTCTCAAAACAGGCAAGGCCAAAGTGGTGGGAAGGGAACAGGATTTAAATCTGGTAAAGTGTGCAGTCACAAAGCAGTGAGTGATCCATCCAAGTCAATGGAATGCCACCAAGTCTTGCTTTCAGGCACAGGTCCTTGGTCCACCAAGGCACAGGCACAGGTCCATCAAGCAGAAGCCCCAGTGGGAGTGTCCAGTGCCTGCTTGGGGGCAGAGCTCCTGCTGCCACGGTCCTTTGGGCCACTGTTTTTCTCAGACAGCTTCTCCTGCCTCCTACAAGTAGAGTACTGTACAAGTTGTGTACAGTTTTACTAAAGGATGAAATTTCCCTTTAGGAGACAAATGCAGGAGACAAGCAGAATTATGCCTTTAAAGTTGTTGGTATCGCTTTGGCTTTTCAGATCTTGGGACAAATCCTTCAGGCAATCCCAGGCTCCGAGCAATCAGCAGACCTCTTCATGTGGTTTGGCAAACTGTGAGTTCACATTGCTCTGCTCTCTTTGAAGACAATGACTTTAACTGAAATGAGGTCTGTCCTGGGAAAAAGGAAAGCAAATGTCTAACATCTTTTAAAAATGCACATGGAAAAGAAAAAATACTGAAAAGAGAATAAAAGTTCCTCATTAAGTTCCCCGTAACTACTCAGATATTCAGAACTGTATAATTGATTTGGGCCTGTTGGTGGCCGTGGTGAGGGGGACACGAGTAAGGAATGTGAATTATACATTCATACTCAAGTAAATCCTTCCCAGTTTCATGGGGAAGGAGATTCCCCATGCACAAGCTGTGAAGGAGCTTCTCGCTGTGCCCACTAGGGGACAGAGCTATGCCGCGTACAGCCCTCTCCTCGGGAGTGGGATGAGCTCCGACGTCTGCTGCTCCAGCCCCGGGACTCTCTGGGATAAGCCAGAGACGGAATATGGGAAATTTTAGTGTAATCAGATCCCTGCAAAATACATTCTCTGCTCATATAGTCCTCTATGGAGAATGTACCTGTGAGATGACTCGTGCTGCGAAACTCCTGACACTCACAAGAACGATTAATTTGAAGCCACATTATTTGCTGGATTCCACCTCTCTCATCAGGACACTGAGCCAGCTTGCTTCTGCTGCCACAGTTGTATCACGACCAGTGTTCCCACTGCTAGAGCTACAACTGTAGCAGCAATGGCAAGAAAACTGAGAAAATGTAGGCAAAAATGATTTTTCAGTCCCCTAAGGGGCAAGGGAAAAAGTGTTGTATTTTGATTTTTGTTTATAAAAGGTGCAAGGTTTAGTTGAATTTTGCTTCTGTGCTTCAATTGTGCTCATGTTAAGCAGCAGTTTTCTAGAGTCCATTGTTATAGCTCTGTAAGTTTTTCTGCACAGAAGCACTTAGAATAGTTTATCTTAGTAACTTTTAAAGTAAATTAAATGAGTTTGTTTTAAACTCCTTACCCTTCAGCAAGAGCGGCAATTCCTAAAATAGCTTTTACTGGCATTTAGTTTATTTAACTTTACATTAGCACCATTTAATCAAGCCCTAAATTAGGTTTTGAATGGACCTAGTTAAACTGGATCGAGCTAGTTTGATTCTCAATTATGCAGTAACTGAAGAGTTTGTTACATGCTAAGATAAATTAAATAAGAGACTTTATACAGGGATTTTCTACTGATCAAATAAAGCATGTTAAAGGCAAACCTACAGTTAAACCACAGTTAAACTGTGGCTTTTCAAAACCTTCAGGCTTTTTTTTCCTCTTGTACAATGGAACTGTAAGTTGAAGGACAAAACAAAGTATTTATTTTATATATCAAAGGCATTCAAGCATAGAACTCAAATTAAGGAAATAACAGTAACTAGTACCTCCTTATCTTCTTCTTTATAACTTCCCTCCTTTTTTCCACAACTGACAAGCCTAAAGAAATCAATTGCTTAAAGAAAAACTTCAGAAGTGAATTCTTTTAAAATTCTGCACACTATTGTACTTTGCTGATGAATAATATTTCTCATCTGTAACTTTTTGTAAGCACAGTTAAGCACACCTTTATTGCCATTCCATTGCCATATTTCATCCAAATCACCTTGGTGTTCCCATACATCTCACAGATGTTTCCACATAACAATAATACATGTTTCCAGGGCAACAAAACTTTGCAGGCAGTATGGGAAACACTCATCCTTGGTCAAAAACTGTCTTTATGAGACACAGTCATGCTGCAGCTTTCACAAACATCCAGAGTTGGTTATTGGGGCAGGATAAACTCTATTATCTACTTCTGCCTGTGTTTGTCTCCTAAAGCCTGTGAAGATCCTGGAGATCATTATATTTATGTATATATGTATAGCTGCTATTTAACAGCTCACAAAATGACATAGAATAGTCAAGGATAGAGAAATGAAAGAACGTCAGAGATCTGATGTTGTCAAGGTGAAGTTAGCCTGTCCAAAAGGCATTATTCAATAAATAGTTACAGAGGAGAGGACATTTAAAATAAATAAAAAGAACAAAAAGAACAAATAACAATATAATTGTTATTATAATAATTGTTATTATTGAAAAATAACAAATTCATTCATTTGAATGCAAGCTACAGGTTTTCCAAAATGTCTGTGGTATGTGTGGAGGTGTATTGTTTTTTTGCTAAAGCCATATGAGGAACTGGATATTTGCACAAATAGAAACAGTGTGGGCCTAATATATGGAAGCTGGGAACACAGCAGAAAAGAGAATGCACTGTGATAGAGCCAAAGTGATCACCTGAGCAAAGGGAGGTGTGGCACCAGAATTTGGATTGGTGCTCACTGATGCAGTCTGAATTCCCTGACATTTCCAACTGCAAAGTGGCCCTGAGAAAATCTAGACCTGTGTCAGACAATCAGCTTGGTTTCCTCTTGGTTCAGTCAGGAGCTTTTCTGTGCTTGAAATCCTTGCTAAAAAATGCTACCACTCTCTGGACACGTTGCCTGACAGTCACCAAGCAGCTCAACTCCAGCATCTGTGCTGTCACTGAAGGCAACGTAAAATTCAGCAAGACAGAGGGTGGGTGTTGTGCTGTCAGGGGAGCCGCAATACCCCTGTCCAGAAGAAAAAATTACAGTTCTTCATGGCATGTAGGGAATATGCAGTTTCCTCATCTACCCCATGAAGTCAGATGAGTTTACTCAGACAAATGTCAGAAAAAAAGCAAGTGCAACTCCATAGATACCTACATGTTATTTGTGGACAGCTTGTATTCCAATGTGGTTACAAAAGCTGTGATGAATAACATCCAAATCAGATATATTATTTTTTTTTTTAAAAAAAAAAAAAGGATTCCTTTGCTGTATTAGAAAAGGAAACATTAATGTGGTATCTTTCTGTATGAGCTATAATTAGCATTTAAGAGACCAACATGTCCCATGTAGTCATCTCAAATACTGAATCTGAGACATCTTGGACCTTGTTTTTATATGTGCTGAGCAGGCAGTATTCTACACTTGTGCAAGTCATGAGGTTCATGAAGGTCATGAGGTTCATGAAAGTCATGGCTTTGACTAAGGAAACAAGACAGTTTTCCTTTTAGACATGAAGAGGTCAAGCCATCAAAAATCAGTTTATAAAATGTTGGTCTTGACCTTTCTCTGCCTTGGTTTTCTCATCTGCATGGGAAAGATAATAATCCACCCGAGTGAGAAGTGTCTCGAGGCAGCCCCTCCAGGGAGGGAGGGGAGTAGCAAAGTGCTATGCTGTTCATGGAGATGAGCAATGCCCACTGTACTGCACACAATGCCAACACTTAGATCATTTCTCACCCACCTCTGCTTTTCTCCCTAATCTGCGTCTCCTGTGTCTTTCTCAGAGCTTTTCACACCCCTGTTTATTGCAACAGTATACAGGAGGTTCCATAACAACTTGAGATTCATTTACTTCTTCCTCCCAGCACAGCTATATTAGAAACCCGTTAAAACATTTCACCTCTTAAAGTAATTTCTTGTCTCAGACAGCCACTGTGACAATTCCTATAAATTCAACGCCTACTCTGCTTATTCAGGGAAGATTCCTTCTGAGTGCTGAATCAAGTCTAGCCCTCAGATCCCAAGCTGCAGTTAAAACAACCAGTGCCACAGCAGATGTACTCAGTAGGTGATGGCAGAGGGGTGCTCCTAGACCTTGAGAAGATGAACTTGTTCCTACTGTAGAGGTTCCGTCTGAACACAGGACCTCTGTTTGATTCTAATCCCAGTGCAGAGTTAATATATCTAATGGCTTCTGAAGAGCTACCTTGTGCACTTCAGGGCTTTCTGAGAGCCTTGAACCACCAGAACCAGAGTAGCTGCGCTGCAGAAAGGTAGTGGAATTTGGAAATTTGAGCAGCAAGGAAAGAAGAGCTTCTGGCTTGGGCACTGATTTAGAACACTCATAGTCCAGGCTGGCTTCCCAATTGCTGCACAGATTTACTAAATATTCATAGAGATAAGAACTTTTCTGACACCTGACTTGGAGAATAAACTCTTGGGGAGAGAGACTCCTGCATTTTATATACACATGCTTTTCACTTACGTTTATGAGGTTCTGACTCATAGGCTAATTTGAATAAATTTTGAGTTGGGTAGCTGAGCCAAATAAATCAGAGTTGGACTGAAATTGGTTTGAACTGATCCATAGTAGAGATATATGGGTTGTATTTGCATTCACAAGGAAAACTGTAAAATGTTGCTCTGGTTTGTGGAACATACTTTACTCAACCCAAAATTAAATCCTTCCTTCTTATAGTGAATAAAAAAAAAATTACATAGTAGATTAACATTATAAAATAGCTGATGGTAGTGGCCACCTCTTCTGCAAACAAAGCAGTCATGTAGGCAGTGTAAAACCCACATCTGAAAGGATGTGACCCACATCTCTCATTTCTCACAGAACCATTTTCTCAAAGATGTTTTACATCCACCAGATTTAGTCAAAGGGAGGAACTCTGTCTAATGTTGTGATCTGTTTTTATCTTGTTGTAAAGTCAATACATTTCTGACTTAGTTCCTTTCTGAAGGAACTTTGCTGAAACAGTTCCTTTCTATGTTAACATAATTTTTGGTTCAGCCAAGCTATACTGCAAAGTTGATAGACAGCAAATAATTTTAAACATGTGCCAAAAAGAGGTCATTTGTCAGCATCTCTTATTACTGTTTGTGGTTTATTTGAACTATTCAATTGATTTCTATAAACAGGATATTGTCTCCCATTGAAATCTATAAAGTGTAGAAACAGCACATAAATTATACCAGCCTCCTGTGTACTTTTATTGAAGGACTTACAGTGATGGGAGGCCTTTTGCTGTAAAACAGTTCTTGTGAAGGCTGAAACAAGCAGAGTTGACTCATGGAAGGGAAACTGAATCATAAAGAATAGATACTCAAACATAAACAGCAATGAACCCAAACACCTTCATTAGTGTCTGCAAATTGTCAAATTGACTCTAATCACTGTGTGAGCTGACCAATCCTCACCACTGGAGAAGGAAGAGCTAAAAAGAGAAAGAAAGTATGACAGATGGGACAAAGAATTGATAATACAGAAACTTTTAACTCTGCTGCCTGAAAAACTGAGATGTTTTCAGAAGTCTGCAGTGCAATTCATGTCAGGTGTTCTGAGAAAACACATCAAACTTTTGAATATGGATCATGGTGCAACATAGAATTCTAAACAAATACCTGCAGGGTTGCCTTGCCCATCTCATTCCAGAAAGCAATGCATCTTTCTTCATCTTTTCCTAATGTCCTTCTGTGCTTCCTTG